GGTATTTAAAGCAGTAATGGTAACATTAATATGGAACATTTTAGATTATTTTTAATGGTTTTAGCTACTTCCATACTCCCCAGTATCTAGTAACACACTAATTTCTCAGTAAGTTCACACGCTAGTACAATTTGTATGAGGTAATCAGTAATAGAAAGATGAAGGATATTTATGAGTAAAAAAGACTCTTACTGCATTATTCACATCAATATACTTGTGACAAAACATGACTCTTCTTGGATTTGACCAAAGTTGTCTTTACAAAGGATTTGTTTTGTAGATAGAGTCATTCAAGATCTAAGAAACTACCTTCCCAAATAGCTGCATTTTGACAAACACATTTGATCTACCTACTTTTGTGACTGTGATGATCTGCATTTTCCATTTTAGACAGTTTTTGGGGAAGCAATTTTGCTCTCCCTTCCTCTTCTTCTTCCAATCCTACTTCAACAGGGTTAATATCGTCTATATACATTCGTTTGCGATTAAGATGGTGTGTAGGGCCTTAAGAACAGTTAAAAAATTAATAGTGCTATAATCTTGATTAAAATACCTAATATGTTCTTGCTTTTATGAAAAAAGAATTTGTTTCATTAATTATTTATGTCATTTTAGGCAACTGTGCATTAAATTCTATCTAGTTCCTTGTTTTCATTTTGACATGAACTAACGAATAATTTAGTATGACTTAAAATATATGATTCCTTTAGATGAACTTTCACAGCATTTCAGTAACTAACTTAGAAACAAAAGCAAGGCTGTGAGTCAAACCTGATAAATGAGCAGAGTCACAGGGCATGTCACATCTTATTTTCTCTCCTTCCTCACTAGTCATGGATAGTAGAGATGCTGAATGACTTTCCTAAAATATATATCAAAAATTGAAAAAAATACCATAAGTATTCTTGGACTCAGCTTTGACCATCTCTCTCAAACCCTAAAGTCAGGAAATTACAAAAGCTATAAATTCTTTTTTTCAGATTGTCTTGTTTCTCTCCCTGTCTTTTCATCTTTGACACTATTATGCATTAATCTAAATTCCTAGGTGAACCTCAATCTTAAACTATGGTAATAATTTTGAGCTGGCTTTTGTGACTACTCCTACTTTTCAATTCTTCCTTATTAGGGTTTTAATTTATTTGAGTCAGAAACTTGGGGAATATAATAGAAAATAATTCTAAACTTTTTTTCAATCTGTATCTTTAAGACATCTTTTTCATCTAACCTTGTGTTTTACTGTTTCAACATACAGGTTTCTTTCTTTCAGTCAAATTTCATGAAAGTGTCTACTTCCAGTTCCCTTCCTTTACGTAGTTTACTGTTCGTACTCCATTTAAGTCTAGGGCGAATCCCTGCCCCTCCATGCTTTAAAATTCTGTTTTAACTTTCTGTATTTTACAGATTAAAATATTTTTGTTGATGGAGCGACGGAATTTTTAGTGGCAAAAAAATTAACCAAATTCCTATATAATCATGAAGCCTATAAAGTCCTAGTTATAAATATATAAGTCATTGGT